GCGGCCGCCGCACGAACGTGAATGCATTCTTACGAATGCATTCACCCGTGCGCGAGCGAGCGTGCCACTCGCGTATATACCTATGACGCGCGATCATTAGGTCCATTCGTCTTTAGAGCGGCGCTCTCCTGATGCACTTTCTACTGTATAGAGATACCGACTCCTATACGTGTATACGTTCGATTTGGATGCTCGCGGTGCTTTCGGCGCGCGTCACTCTCCTCATCAGGTTCGTTTTTTCTTTTATCCCTGCGTTCTCGCTAAGGAGGTGAGGCAAAAACGCGTATTACTTCTGTTTCACTTCAACTTACTGCACTCCGGAGAGCGCGATAAAATGGAATGAGAAACAGGACTTCTTGTTTTATACATTCAATAAACGATAAAAGTATAAAGCGATGACTCTGAAGCGCGTGAGTGACCAAATCGAACGCAATCTCTATAACAGAGCCTGGCCACGAGGAATTTTGTCAAAACAAGAATATGGGAATAAAGGGTGTTATATCTCATTTTGTATTACTCGTCTATCTTATTTCAAAAGCCGGAGCTACAGACTCTTTTATTGCGCGAAAAGGAAGGAATTAATCTGATTAGTCCATTTTTTATGAGATATGCAAGACTCCGGTGCTTCCATCCTAATTCATTGAAATTAATAAAAACAACGGGTGATCAAATATTTATCATCTTTTGTGCGGTTATTATAGATTATTACAGATTCTCTACTTTCTACGACCGTCCCGATGGTCATAAGGCAGAGAAAAAGGGGACAGAGAGTGGATGGATTTGATATCGTCCTGAGGAGACCAAAAAATCAAAGTATAGTCAATTTGAAGTCATATTGATCGAATTTATGTCATTTTTTTTTTTTTTTTTGTCACGATTCAGTCAATATGACATCATTTTAACTTTCTTGTTCTCTTTGGAGTAATTCAGCGTGTCCGTATTTGTAGTCGCTTGTTCCTCCCCGTGGTGCTTTTACATACGAGGTGAAGTAGATGCAGGTGGGCAGAAAAGAGGGGGGGGGGAGAGAGAGAGAGAGAGAGGAGAACGTACTTTTCGCGCGAGTTCACGCTCCCCTGCCACGTAACGTAAATATTGCTACGCCGGGGGGTTGCGGTGACTCCCTCGTCGTTTTCTCTCTCGCTCTCCTTTCATCTCTCTCTCTCTCTCTCTCTCTCTTCTCTCTCTCTCTCTCTCTCTCTCTCTCTCTCTCTCTCTCTCTCTCTCTCTCTCTCTCTCCCCCATGGTACTCCCGCATCGACGTGGCTAGGCACATGCACCGTGCGGTGCAACAATGGCACGCGACAACGCGACTCTCCCTCCCCGACCTGCATTCGAGATCTGCTCCGATCTGCTCGATCGCGCATGTTAAAGTACCAAGCCACAAAGTGATGCGTGCGTTTGCTCGGAACGAGCGGGAGAATATCGAGAGGCGGCTCTCATTTATTGCAGAAAAGGAGATAAAGAGAGAGAGAGAGAGAGAGAGAGAGAG